TTGCTCTTCTCACTGTACACTAATGACTGTACCTCCAGGGACCCTTCAGTCAAAATCTTGAAGTATGTAGATGACACTACAGTCACTGGTCTCATCCTAGATGGTGATGAGTCTGCTTACAGATGGGTTGTTGATCAGGTGGTTCTTTGGAGCAGCCACAACAACCTGCTGCTGAATACAGGGAAAACAATGGAGATGACAGTAGACTTCAGGAGGAGGCCTCCAACCCCCCCACCACTCACCATCCTGGAAAGAACTGTGATGGCAGTGGAGTCTTGCAAGTTCCCGGGCACAACAATCACCAGAGACCTGAAGTGGGACAGTAACATCAGCTACATCAAGAGAGCCCAGCAGAGGATATGATTCCTGTGTCGGCTGAGGGAGTTCAACCTGCCCCAGGAGCTGAGGTGTGGTTCTACACAGCCATCATAGAGTTCGTCATCACCACGTCCATCACAGTGTGGGGTAGCTCAGCCACCAAGCATGACCTCCACAAACTGCAGCGCATCATCAGGTCTGCAGAGAGGATAATTGGTGTTAAGCTGCCCACACTGCTGGAACTGCATGCCTCCAGAACCAGGAAGCATGCAGAGAAGATCTCCACTGACTCGTCACACCCTGGCCACCACCCATTCCAACTCCTTCCCTCAGGCTGGCGCTTCAGCCAGATGAGGATCAGGACATCCAGGCTACAGAGGAGCTTCTTCCCACAAGCCATCACTCTCTTGAACAGTTAAAATATTACACATAAAAATATTCCAGCTTCTAAACTGCACTTCTAAATATGCTGGTAAATATTATCACACTCAACAGTCCATCCTCTGAAACTACTGTCTCAGGCCACAGTTTCTTCTAGCATCTCACTTACCTGCCTTATTACCCCACTTATCTGTCTGTTACCTCACTTACCTGCCTTATTACCCCACTTATCTGTCTGTTACCTCACTTACCTGCCTTATTACCCCACTTATCTGACTGTTACCTCACTTATCCCTTTCTTTGCCACTATACACTCTTTAATTGCTGCTGCACTCAGCACTTTAACTTATGACACATACTTTGCACATTGTAAGGTTTACAGGTATGACTGTGTGTATGTGTGTGTGTGTATGAGTGAGTGATGGTAGGAATGCATGTTTTATTTTATTTTATTTTATTTTATTTACTACATGTAAATGTTTGTCTGATACTGTGCATTGTGAGCTCCTGTAACCAAAACCAAATTCCTTGTATGTGCAAGCATACCTGGCCAATAAAGCTTGATTCTGATTCTGATTATAGAAAAGTGAAAGCAGTCTCACCTTGCCAGGAGCATGAACCAAGGTGCGAGGCCTAGGAGTTCCCACTGAGCTTCTGCTAAATCACAAAACAAAGTAAATATTAGGAATTCAAAACAAAAATAGAAGGGATAAAATAAGAATCTCTTACCCTCACACAAAGTGACACAAAAAGAAGAGCTTCAAAAGGCATAGAAACAACTTGAGAACAACTTGAGAAGTAATACAGAAAATTCTGGCTTAGTGTGGAGATACGCTATATTGCCAAAAGTATTCACTCACCCATCCAAATCATAGAATTCAGGTGTTCCAATCACTTCCATGGCCACAGGTGTATAAAACCAAGCACCTAGGCCTGCAGACTGCTTCTACAAACCTTTATGAAAGAATGAGTTGCTCTCAGGAGCTCAGTGAATTCCAGTGTGGTACCGTGATAGGATGCCACCTGTGCAACAAGTCCAGTCATGAAATTTCCTCACTACTAAATATTCCACAGTCAACTGTCAGTGGTATTATAACAAAATGGAAGCGATTGGGAACGACAGCAACTTAGCCACAAAGTGGTCGGCCACGTAAAATGACAGAGCGGGGTCAGCAGACGCTGAGGTGCATAGTGCGCAGAGGTCACCAACTTTCTGCAGAGTCCATCGCTACAGACCTCCAAACTTCATGTGGCCTTCAGATTAGCTCAAGAACAGTGCATAGAGAGCTTCATGGAATGGGTTTCCATAGCTGAGCAGCTGCATCCAAGCCTTACATCACCAAGCGCAATGCAAAGCATCGAATGCTGTGGGGACATGGTCTCTGGAGTGACGAATCACGCTTCTCCATCTGGCAATCCGATGGACGAGTCTGGGTCTGGCGGTTGCCAGGAGACGGTACTTGACTGACTGCATTCTGCCAAGTGTAAAGTTTGGTGGAGGGGGATTATGGGGTTGTTTTTTAGGAGGTGGGCTCGGCCCCTTAGTTCCAGTGAAAGGAACTCTTAATGCTTCAGCAGACCAAGAGATTTTGGACAATTTCATGCTCCCAATTTTGTGGGAACAGTTTGGGGATGGCCCCTTCCTCTTCCAACCTGACTGCGCACCAGTGCACAAAGCAAGGTCCATAAAGACATGGATGAGCGAGTTTGGTGTGGAAGAACTTGACTGGCCTGCACAGAGTCCTGACCTCAACCCGACAGAACACCTTTGGGATGAATTAAAGCGGGGACTGCGAGCCAGGCCTTCTCGTCCAACATCAGTGTCTGACCTCACAAATGCGCTTCTGAAAGAATGGTCAAAAATTCCCATAAACACACTGCTAAACCTTGTGGAAAGCCTTCCCAGAAGAGTGGAAGCTGTTATAGCTGCAAAGGGTGGGCCGACATCGTATTAAACCCTATGGATTAAGAATGGGACATCACTCAAATTCATATGCGTGTGAAGGCAGACGAGTGAATACTTTTGGCAATATAGTGTATGTGCATGCAAAAGGTGAACCCAAGACAGTGCACTGAGCATGTGTATATATACATGGTGATGGGGGTGTGCACTTTCTCTTGCTTCCTGAAATCCACTATGAGCTCCTTGGTCTTGTCGACATTGAGAGAGAGGTTGTTCTCCTGGCACCATTGTATCAGGAAGCTGATCTCCTCTCTGTAGGCCTCCTCGTTATCATTGGAGAGCAGGCCCACAATCGTGGTGTCATCAACAGTGAGAAACAGATCTATGAAAATCGCTCACTGTTACCAGTGGAAACAAGTTACTACTCTAAGGAGCATATCACAGTCAAAATGAGAGTTAAATCCATGAATGTGACTACTTTTAGAAGATTATAATGATGATCTGTTAGTATGAATATGAGAAGATTTCATTGTATTGTGAGTCAGGTGAAACAATGCCTATGATTAAACAGTTTGAGGCTGTGCAGGCACCAGCATCATCAGAAGGGTGAGTGGCATGCAGATGAATTTTTCTGCACAGTACTGGACAGCACTTGAGTACATAACAGAAAAATTCTACACCCAACTCCAAGAAATAATTAATGGAGTGGACAAGAAAGACATAATGAAAGTACAAGGTGACCGGAATGCAAAAGTTGGAAAGGACTCGCTAATAGACAGGATACAATTCTGTGGTTGCTCTTGCAATGACACCACCAACAACAGATGGTTACGCCTCCTAGAGTTTGCCAGCTAAAACAATATGGTCCTGGCCAACACGCTTGGCAAACACAAACCCTCACGATGCTGGACATGGCATGCACCTGACAGAACCCACCACAGTCAGATTGACTATATCCTGGTGCAGCATCAATTCCAGTCTGGCAACAACAGACTGAAAACAACGACATTTCCTGGTCCAGACATTGGAAGTGACCATGACCTTGTTATCATGAACCAGGCCGAAATTCAACCTTGACAGACTGAAGGATCCTTTCATCTGCAAATCTTTCCAGGTGAAAATTGGTGGCAAGTTTGCCCAACTGCTGGCACTTGATAAATAAACTGAAGTTACAGTGTTACAAAGTTACAGCTACAGTTATGGGGTTGTTTTTCAGGGGTTGGCCTAGGCCCCTTAGTTCAAGAGAAGGGAAATCCTAATGCTTCAGCATACCAAGAGATCTTGGACAATTGTTTGCTTCTAAGGTTCGCATGGTTGAGTAAGTTTGGTGTGGAAGAACTTGACTGGCCTGCACAGAGCCCTGATCTCAACCCCATCAAACACAGGAATAAATAATGCTAAATAAGCACTTTGCTTAATGAACTTATTAAGTGAGAAAGCGAGAACAAGTTCCATGGCATAATCATAACAAAAATTAAATTTCCACTGTATACCCCTACCTGATTGTTATTTGTTTTAAGCAACAGACCAACAAATTTTAGTCTTTTTTTTTTTTTTTTAATTTTTACCCGATTTTCTCCCCAATTTAGTCGTCTCCAATTCCACCCGCTAGTTAGGACTCCCCCAATCACACGATGCTATCAATGCTAGGAGGGTGAAGGCTAACACAGGCTTCCTCCGAGACCTGTGAAGCCAACCACCGCTTCTTTTCGAACTGCCGCTCACGCAACGTCATTGGACAGCCGAACGCGCTCGGAGGAAAGCGCCAACCGCCAGATCTGTTACGTCAGCTAACAGACGCCTGCGCTGACTAGCATCGCGCTGAGTGATGGGGGGAGAAGGAGGGGCCATCCCACCCACCCAGAGAGAGCGAAGCCAATTGTGCTCTCTCAGACTCCCGGCTACGGATGGCTGTAGCATCACCAGGGATCGAACTCGCGATCTCCTGATGACAGGGCCAACGCTTAGATGGTTGCGCCACTCGGGAGCCCAAATTTTAGTCTTTTACATATTCATTTTAAGTGGGAGTGTTCGGACATTTGGAAATTTGACTAAAATTGTTGGTCAAGCAAAAAAGGATAACATAATAATAAGTATCAACACTTAAAAATAAAAACTTCAAGGAAAAGGAAAAAATGACAAATAAAAAAAAAGAAAGCACCAAAAAAATCAAAGGTAAAACAGGCTAAATAGATACTGAGGTCAATGTCTTTCAGATCAGTGTGGCTCACTTTTGAAAGTCACACCTCCTTTTACTGTGGCCCAGTAGTATAATATTACCATGGAGATATGCATTTCTGTCTATATAAATACCACAAACTCTTTCAGTCCAACCAGCTGAAACATTAGATCTTGAACACACCCAATCATTATCTCTACTCAGTAGTTGAATGAGTGGATGGAGTCGATATTTACTCTCTTGCACGTGTTAATGGTCATTATAAATTTTTCGAGAACAAATGAGATTTTCTGTAGCCTGCAAGGAGAGCCTGTATACCCACAACTGTCAAAGGATGGTGACATCATAGTTGGAGGAATTTTCCCCTTCCATAAGAGTTGGGAAATCACAAACGTGTCTTATGTGTTCAAGCCATCACCGCTGAATTGTGTGAGGTAAGCAGGAATGCAAAGTGATATTTTTATACATTGAATGAGTATGTATTATTTTAAATAGTTAGATTATACAGCTATAATAAACTTCTAAATGTCATCCTTACAATGTCTGTGTATATCTGTTTTCCCTAATCCAGTCTTGATTTCAGAACCTTCCAGTTTTCACAGTCCTTGATTTTTGCAATAGAAGAGATCAACAACAGCTCCTCTTTACTCCCTGGTATTTCACTGGGCTACAAGATCTATGACACATGCAGTTCCACAGCTAGGGGGGTGAGAATGGCTATGGCACTTATTAATGGAAATGAGAATTCAACCTTGAATGAGCAATGCACAAAGCCAGCACAGGTGTTAGCCATAATTGGAGAGACACACTCCTCAATATCAATGGCTATAGCAAAGATTGTTGGACCTTTCAATATTCCCATGGTAAGCCTTTAATATTTAAAAAAAAAATTAAAAGAACAATTAAAATATGAAAACTATTAAAGACTATTAAAATCATTCCAGAATGTACCTTTAATGTTAAATGCAGTTAATATCTGGCAAAAAAACTGAATATAATTCCATCCCTGAAACCAGTTTGAATCTGTTTTGTCCATCAGATCTGTCCTTATTCCACCTGTGAGTGTCTCAGTGACAAAAGAAAATATCCCTCATTTTTGCGCACTATTCCCAGTGATTACTACCAGAGCAGAGCACTGGCAGAGATGGTCAAGCAATTTGGCTGGACCTGGGTGGGAGCAATAAGAAGAGATGATGATTACGGTAACAGTGGAATGGCTGCCTTTGCTAAAACTGCAGAACAGTTGGGCATTTGTTTAGAATATTCCCTTCCATTTTTTACAAACTACTCACCAGGAAAAGTGCTGAGAATAATCCAGCAGATCAAAAGCTCTACTTCTCGAGTGATAGTGGCGTTTGTCACTTATTGGGACTTGGAGATTTTGCTGAATGTATTTTATGAGCACAACATCACTGGATATCAGTGGGTGGGAACTGAATCTTGGATCTCTGATTCAACTGTAGCCAGAATGGATAAGCACAACATACTGCAAGGAGCCATAGGACTGGCTATCCCCAAAACAACAGTAATGGGTCTGAAGGAATTCATACTGGATATAAATCTGATGCAGTCTGCAGGCAGTGCCATTTTTACTGAATTATGGGAGACTTTATTTAAGTGCAAATATACAGTGCAGAATGACTCAGAAAATACAACAATGTGCACAGGTACAGAGAAACTGTCTGAAATGGAAAGTGAATTCACAGACATGTCTTTGATGCCCATTTACAGTAATGTGTATAAAGGAGTATATGCTGTAGCCCATACCCTACACAACCTTCTCGGGTGCACACAAAAATGTCCTACAAAAAAGCAGCCTGATCCTCTCACTGTAAGTTAAAAGTCTGTGTAAGCATAAAGGTTAAAATTAGAGTTTTACACCTTTGGCACATGCAATTACCACTAATTCAGAAAAATCTGTTAAAATGCTGTAGTTTAGAGTAGAAAGTTTAAACTCCTTCAAATTTTGTATCTTAAGTTATGTTTTATTTTGTCAGTTTCTTGAACATCTCAAAAAGGTGCGCTTCAAAACTAAAGAAGATGAAGAGGTTTATTTTGATAAAAATGGTGATCCTGCAGCAAAATATGAAATAATAAATTGGCAAACTATAGAAGATCACCATGAGTTTGTCACCGTTGGACTTTATGACTCTTCTTTCCCTGCTCAAAATCAATTATCAATTGAACTGGCCTCTATTGTGTGGGCACAAAATACAAGCCAGGTACAGGGACAGAATTTGTTAGGTCTCAATAAAACACACATACTTCACTTTGTCAGCATGGAATTTTATTTTATGTTATTAAGCATTTATTTTGATCATAGGTGCCGGTGTCTGTGTGCAGTGAGAGCTGCCCTCCAGGCACCAGGAAGGCTGTGCAGAAAGGAAAGCCTATCTGCTGCTTTGACTGTATACCATGTGCTGAAGGAGAGATTAGTAATATGACAGGTACAAACATTCACAAAACAAAGTATTGCTGGTATTACTGATGTAATCACAAACTATTCTAGAATACAAGTCTAAACTGTTTAAAGTATGGACTGTATTTTTCCATGTATTTGTAACTTACCCATGTTTATTTCTCTCTAACAGGCTCTATTAAATGTGAACAATGCTCCCAAGACTACTGGTCAAATCAACACAGGAATGAATGTGTAAAGAAGGAAACTGAATTCTTGTCGTATGAGGAAATGATGGGAATTTTGCTGACAGTTGTTTCATTTATTGGTACATTCATGACGACAATAATAGCAATTATATTCATCAGATATAAAAATACTCCAATAGTCAAAGCCAACAATTCAGAGCTGAGCTTCCTGCTGCTCTTCTCACTGGCTCTGTGTTTTCTCTGCTCACTTACTTTCATTGGTCGGCCCTCTGAGTGGTCCTGTGTGCTGCGTCACACAGCGTTTGGGATCACCTTCGTCCTCTGCATCTCCTGTGTTCTGGGGAAAACAATAGTGGTGTTAATGGCCTTCAGAGCTACACTTCCAGGCAGTAATGTCATGAAATGGTTTGGGCCTCCACAGCAGAGACTCAGTGTTCTCACCTTCACTCTCATACAGGTCCTTATTTGTGTGATTTGGTTAACAACATCCCCTCCTTTCCCCTTCAAAAACCTACAGCACTACAAGGAAAAGATCATTCTAGAATGTCAGTTAGGTTCAGCAGTAGGTTTCTGGGCTGTGCTGGGTTATATTGGACTTTTGGCTCTACTGTGTTTTGTTTTAGCTTTTCTGGCTCGGAAGCTGCCTGATAAGTTTAACGAAGCCAAATTCATCACATTCAGCATGCTCATATTCTGTGCAGTTTGGATCACCTTCATCCCAGCTTATGTCAGCTCTCCTGGAAAGTTCACTGTAGCTGTGGAGATATTTGCTATTTTAGCTTCAAGTTTTGGTTTGTTATTCTGTATCTTTCTTCCAAAGTGCTATGTAATTATACTGAAACCAGAAATGAACACTAAAAAACAAATAATGAGTAAAGTGCCAGCTAAGTACTTCTAAGCAGGTAAGCTACACTTTTACAAGGTTTTGTTCGGACAGCAGCGATATGTTATGTTGATACTAATAGTGGTAAATCTGACAAAAAAAAGAAAAAAAAACAATAAAAGAGTATCTCTCTCTCTCTCTCTCACTCTATATATATATATATAATATGTATATATATATATATATACATATATATAGTATATATATATATATACATATATATATATATATGTATATATATATATATATATATTCAGGCATCCACATCCTAAGGACAAGTGAGCTAAATTAAATTGGATGCAACAGATGCTAGCAAGGAAGAAATCAAAAAGTTTTGTGATCAAATTTCAACAAGATTTACTGGTGGTGATTTGACACTGGAATGCTAAAATTGGAAATGAGAAGGACGGAAATACTGTCAGCCTTGAAAACAAGAATGAATCAGGAAAATAACCACACACACACACACACACACACACACACACACACACACACACACACACACTTTTTCTAAGCCGCTCATCCTTCTGGGTGTTGGGGGCGGAGGGATGACTAATCAATTTTTGCAAGTACAATGACTTTGTCATTACTACAACATTTTTCAAGCACCAAAAGAACATCTTTGTATGTGGACACCACCAGATGAAGTTCACTGAAATTAAATCTGAAAAACGGCTCAATGGCTGGTAGTTTGAAAGAAGTCAGTTTATATCCTAATACCAAAAAAAAAAAGAAGGCAAGACAGACTGTTCAAACTATTGCACAATTTTTCTAATATATATCGACAGCAAAATTATGCTCATTCAAGGCAGACTAGAGCCTTACATTGAGAGAACTGTCCACTGTGGAAGCAGGACTAAGGAAAAGCAGAGTGTGGATGTATGCTGGATCACTGAAAAAGCCTAGGAATTAAGAAGGAAGTAGTTAGAAGGAGTTAAAACCACAGGACTTCAACTCAAAATGAAGAACACATCTCAAAATGAAGAAGTTATGAAAAAGGAAAAACTGTTATCTTCAACACTGATGTATCAGATCAGTTATTAACAACTGAGGATCCAGCACTCAAGAATGTGACACAAATTGGCACACGACAGAACAAGATTGAAAAGATCTTCAAATCCAATTATTTGTCTGTACAACCAAAGATCAGAACTGTCCAGACTACAGTCTTGTCTGTGGATGTTTATGGATGTGAAAGCTGGACAACAAACAAGTAAGAAAGGAAAAGTGTAACTTTTGGCGAAAGACTTCTGAGAGTAATGTGGACAATAAGAAAACAAATAAATGGACCAGCGAACAAAGAAAGACTCACCTCTCACTGAAGCTTATATTCCAATGAGACGTAATTCATTTAAAAAGACTGTTGTGCTTGAAAAAGTTGAGAGTAAAAAGAAAGAGTATAACCAGCAGCAAGATTGATGTTTACAGTCAGATGAATCATAAATCAGCCAGAAGGCCAAAACAGAAAAAAGGATTTTCTGGAGAAACACTGTCCCTCACCTGGACTTAGAAAGGACTTGACAGGATTACATAAATAAATAAAAAAATACATAAATATTAAGTTATTGTGGAAAGTTTGTGTTAAATGATGCATTTAGTAAATTAAATCAATCAGTTAAAAAGCAACATTTTATTCATAATCGCTTCAGGAACACCTTCCACAATACAATGTCTGTGTCACACTCTTCAGACTTTATGTGTTCACAGTATGCTACAAAGGTTGCGTTCTGTAATGAAGCAGAGGAAGACGACACATCTAAATAAAGTCTAACTAGAGATCCTTTTATAGTAATATGCAAATTTAGCATATTTATTCTTAACTTAATCTAACAAAATGAATGTTTAAAACATCTGACATTTCCTTTTTTTAATTTAGACTTCAATTAATTTTGACTATCGCAGTCTTAGATTTTGAACAAGAAGAATTTAAGTTCATTTGTTGTCTGGTTGTGTTGAAAAAATAAAGACACTTAATTCTCTGAAAAAGCTGCACTAAATAAGGTATGGTGATTAGAAGAAACATGTGATTGCAAGCAACATGTGAAAGAACAGTGTATTGAAAGAGAAGTTAAAGAGAACTCACAGTCAAAACTTGGTGAAGGTCGTGTCTTCTAATGATGAAAGTAAATATGTTCACCAGTCTAATGTTCATTGTGCATTTAAGAGAGCCAGAGTTTCCGAAGCAATGCTTAATGACATAAATATGTAAAATCATATGATGTGGTTGGAAAAAATCCTGCGAAAACCAACTCAACATTTCTGACTTTTAAAGTACTATTTCAGCTGTTACTGGTGACTTGCAGCAGCACACGGCCTTTAGATGCCAGCATGTTTTTTTTTTTTCCCTCCCCACACGCTAATGCTACTTCTTTCGATTCTAACAAAAATACATATAAATATTTTAAATAATGCATGGGTAGCACAGAAGGCTAGTAGTGTTGCATGGGAGCAGGGATGGGGGAGTAGCTAAGTAGCGCGCTACTTTTTGTAGTTAGCTACGAATATTTGTAGCTAATAGCTGTAGCCGCTACAGTTTTATGAAATGTAGCTAATACCTGTAGCGCCTACATATTTTTGTGTAGGTATAGTGAAAATTTTCGCTAGAATTTCACAACAGACTTAAGAAAATCCACCCAAAATTCAAGCAACCGAACGCGGTCGTTCACTTTATGTCCATTTTACCATATTGGCTGTATGTCTCAGTATGTGCTGATAGTACAGCCTAAAAACATAATATAAACAAAAGCTCAGACTTACTTCGCTCTGCTTTAAGCTTTAGCTCAGCTGTAGCCGCTTTTCTTGCACTTGCTGGTGAATTAGCAGTTCTACATCAACTCCAGCATTTCACATTTATTGTGAAAACTGTGTTAGAACTGTGTGTTATAACGATTTTACAGCAAATGAGGATTATGTTATTTTACCTAAAAATCTAGTTCTGCTGTGGAGCTGCAACAGCAACAGTGGAGAGATTATTCAGGCCTGATTCTCAGCCCAAACAGAGCCAGGGTCACTGATGAGAAGGCTAATGTTTGAGGCTAAAGTGTTGGTGAAGTTTAATAAAGACTCTGAATGTCACGTCTGTACATACACCGATCAGGCATAACATTATGACCACCTCCTTGTTTCTACACTCATTGTCCATTTTATCAGCTCCACTTACTATATAGGTGCACTTTGTGGTTCTACAGTTACAGACTGTAGTCCATCTGTTTCTCTGATACTTTGTTAGCTACTAGCAGGTACTATTGTAGCAGGTACTATTTGGGTGGTGGATCATTCCCTGCACGGCAGTAACACTGACGTGGTGGTGGTGTGTTAGCGCGTGTTGCACTGGTACGAGTGGATCAGACACAGCAGTGCTGCTGAGGTTTTTAAACACTGTGTCCACTCACTGTCCACTCTATTAGATGCACCTGTATTGTCAGTCCCCCTTGTAGATGTAAAGTCAGAGACGATAGCTCTTCTGCTGCTGCACAGTTTGTGTTGGTCATCCTCTAGTCCTTCATCAGTGGTCACAGGACACTGCCCACAGGACGCTGTTGGCTGGATATTTTTGGTTGGTGGACTATTCTCAGTCCAGCACTGAGGTGTTTAAAAACTCCAGCAGCACTGCTGTGTCTGATCCACTCAGACCAGCGCAACACACACTAACACACCACCACCACGTCAGTGTTATTGCAGTGCTCAGAATGATCCAACACCCAAATAGTACCTTGTTGGTTACACTTAAACTTACTTTTTGTTGATATTTTTGTACATTTGCAGCTTTTCAATTGTATGTTTCTTTCTGGCACATGATTAAATGCAGTGTCTTGTTCACACTGTCAGTTGGGCTTGTTTGGTGTGTCAGATAGAGATTCAAACATTCTGACAGTCGTGCTTTGAAAGTAGCTAAAAAGTAGTGCACTACTTTTCAAAAAGTAGCTAAAAAGAAGCCACTACTCTTTCTTGAAAAGTAGCTAAATTGTAGCTAGCTACAACTGTTGGGAAAGTAGCTACAAAGTAGCTAACTACAAATTTTTCAGTAGCTATCCCAACCCTATCCCAAGAAGATATAAAGCGCAATATGGCCTTAAAAAAGCACTCTGCTTAATAAACTTATGCAGTGAAGTGAGAAAGCCAGAACAAACTCTATGGCACAATCATAATGAAATAACTTTCCAACATAAAAAAAACTTATTTCACTGTCATTTGCTTTTTGCAGTAGAGAAAAAAATTGTAGATATGTAAGTAATCAATTATCTTCATTTAATTGCTAGAGCATTGGGATATTTGAATAAAGTTGTTGGTCTTGCAAATAAGCATCATATAATAAAAAAAGGCCCACACAGACATTCTTAAAGTATCAACAATGAAAATTCATGAATTAAAAAAAATACAGTTTTTAAATAAACTGCATAAAACCAACAGGAAAGCAACAAAAACAAAACAAAGGTAAAATAAGCAATAAAATAAAGTGAGGTCACCTTCTTTCTGATTAGTGCTGCTAACATTTGAAAGCCACTCCTCCTTTGACTGTGGCTCATCAGTATAACATTACCATAGAGGATCTGCATTTCTGTATAAATACCACAAAAACTTGCTGTCCAACCAGCTGAAACATCCATCTTTGCACACACTGAATCATTATCCCTACTCAGAAGTTGAATAGGTGGATGGAGTCTGCCTTTAATCTCTTACATGTAGTAATGGTCATCATCAATGTTTTCAGAACAAATGGGACTTTTTGTAGCCTGCAAGGAGAACCTGTTTATCCACAACTTTCAAAGGATGGTGACATCATAGTTGGAGGGATTTTTCCCTTCCATAGGACTTGGGAAATCACAGATATGTCCTATATGGTCAAGCCATCACCACTGAAATGTGTGAGGTAAGCACAAGACAAAGTGAGATTTTTTATACAAGGAATGAATAGGTACTATTTTAAGCAGTTAAATTTCACAGTAGTAATTACAGTTCAACATGTTATCCTTAAAACATCTGTGTATGTCTTTTTTTCCTAATCCAGTCTTGATTTCAGAGCAATGCAGTTTTCACAGTCTGTGATTTTTGCAATAGAAGAGATCAACAACAGTTCCTCTTTACTCCCTGGAGTCTCACTGGGCTACAAGATCTATGACACTTGCAGTTCCAGGGCTATGGGGGTTAAAATGGCTATGGCACTTGTTAATGGAAATGAGAACTCAACACTGGATGAGCACTGCACAAAGCCAGCACAGCCACAAGCCATAATTGGCGAGTCATACTCATCAGTGTCAATGGCTATCGCAAAGACTGTTGGACCTTTCAGCATTCCCTTAGTAAGCAATTTAATCTATTTTTATCAATTATAACCCTTAGGTAAAATTATTTCTGAACTTACCTTTAATTTTAAATACAATGCTTATCTGGCATAAAAAAACATGATTGAACATAATCCTATAGACCTGTGTGAATCTATTTTTAGATCAGTCATGATGCCACCTGTGAGTGTCTCAGTGACAAAAGAATATATCCCACATTTTTCCGCACTGTTCCTAGTGATTACTACCAGAGCAGAGCACTGGCAGAGATGGTCAAGCAGTTTGGTTGGACCTGGGTGGGTGCAATCAGAAGAGATGATGATTATGGTAACAGTGGAATGGCTGGATTTACTGAAGCTGCTGAAAAGTTAGGGCATATGCTTAGAATATTCCCTTCCATTTTTTACAACATATTCACAAGAAAAAGTGCTGAGAATAATCCAGCAGATCAAAAGCTCTACTTCTCGAGTGATTGTGGCATATGTCACTTATTGGGACTTGGAGATTTTGATCGATATACTTTATGAGCACAACATTACTGGATATCAGTGGGTGGGAACTGGAGCTTGGATTTCTGATTCAACTGTAGCCAGACTGGATAAGCACAAAATTCTGCAAGGAGCCATAGGACTAGCTGTACCCAAAAAAAACGTGACAGGTCTGAAGGAATTCATTTTGGATATAAATCCACTGAGATCTGCAGGCAGTGCCATTTTTACTGAATTCTGGGAGGCTTTGTTTAATTGCAAACATACAGTGCAGAATGACTCGAAAGATACAACATTGTGCACAGGACAGGAGAAACTGTCTGAAATGGACAATGAATTCACAGACATGACCATGATGCCCATCTTCAATAATGCTTATAAAGCTGTATATGCTATTGCCCATACACTGCATGACCTTCTGGGCTGCACACAAACATGTCCTATAAAGAAGCAGCCCGATCCTTTCACTGTAAGTTAAAAGATTATTTAAGCATGGATCTTGAAGTTTTAAGCTTCTATATATGTGTGTAGCACTAAGTGTGAAAAATCAAAAATGCTGTACGTTCATTGAGAAGTATGTATTAAGCTTTTTTCAGATGTCGTAACTTAAACTTTGCTCTATTTGGTCAGTTTCTAGAACATCTCAAAAGAGTGCGCTTTAAAACCAAAGAAGGTGAAGAGGTTTACTTTGATAAAAATGGTGACCCTCCATCTAAATATGAAATAATAAACTTGCAAACTATTGATAATCAACATGAGTTTGTCACTGTTGGATATTACGACTCTTCTTTCCCTGCTCAAAATCGATTAGCAGTACAAATGCCGTCTATTGTGTGGGCACAAAATACAAGCCAGGTACCGGAATAGAACTGAACGTTGGTCTCAACAAAGCATGTATATGTTATATCAAGTTTGTAAATATGTGTAAATTATATGTTCTTTTACGTTATTAAACATTTGTTTTGTTCATAGTTGCCGGTGTCTGTGTGCAGTGAGAGCTGCCCTCCGGGCACCAGGAAGGCTGTGCAGAAAGGAAAGCCTATCTGCTGCTATGACTGTATACCATGTGCTGAAGGAGAGATCAGCAACATTACAGGTATAAAACAACGCAGAGTTGAAATAGAGTATTGTTGGTACTACAGCTAATCAAAAAATATTGTAGAATATGTGTGATAATTAAGTCTGAAATGTTTCCAGTCCAGAAGCTTTTCTCCATGTTTCAGGACATAGAAGACAAATGCAACATTATACAAAATACATTCCTTCAGTTACTGTCCCTCTGCATCGAACTTTTTGTTTTTTTTGTTATTTATGTAATATATCTCTCTCTGACAGACTCAATTAAATGTGAACAGTGCTTTCAAGACTCCTGGTCAAATCAACACAGGAATGAATGTGTAAAGAAGGAAACTGAATTCTTGTCGTATGAGGACACAATGGGAATTTTGCTAACAGCTGTTTCAATTATTGGTACATTTCTGACAACAACAATAGCAATCATATTTTTCAGACATAAAAATACCCCAATAGTCAAAGCCAACAATTCAGAGCTGAGTTTCTTGCTGCTCTTCTCACTGGCTCTGTGTTTTCTCTGTTCACTTACTTTCATCGGTCGGCCCTCCGGGTGGTCCTGTGTGCTGCGCCACACAGCGTTTGGGATCACCTTCGTCCTCTGCATCTCCTGTGTTCTGGGGAAAACAATAGTGGTGTTAATGGCCTTCAGAGCTACACTTCCAGGCAGTAATGTCATGAAATGGTTTGGGCCTCCACAGCAGAGACTCAGTGTTCTTGCTTTCACTCTCATACAGGTCCTTATTTGTGTACTTTGGTTAACAACATCTCCTCCTTTCCCCTTCAAAAATCTAAAGCACTACAAGGAAAAGATCATTCTAGAATGTCAGTTAGGTTCAGCAGTAAGTTTCTGGGCTGTGCTGGGTTATATAGGACTCTTGGCTCTACTGTGTTTTGTTTTAGCTTTTTTGGCTCGGAAACTACCTGATAAGTTTAACGAGGCCAAGTTCATCACATTCAGCATGCTCATATTCTGTGCAGTTTGGATCACCTTCATCCCAGCTTATGTCAGCTCTCCTGGAAAGTTCACTGTAGCTGTGGAGATATTTGCCATTTTGGCCTCAAGTTTTGGTTTGTTATTCTGTATCTTTTTTCCAAAGTGTTACATAATCATACTGAAACCAGAAATGAACACTAAAAAACAAATTATGAATAAAGCGCCAGTTAAGTGAGCTGAATGTTCTCGATTAGTATACCTTAATATAAAGCAAATGACCCTTGCATTTCCATTATTAGTTAAAAATAAGTTAACATTTGATCAGTTAACATTTCAAAACATCTCAAAACGGAATAGTACCTTTTAATAAAATCAGTATAACTGAATGTCTGAGATGTAAAAAGAATCAATGAGAGAGTTTTCATGTGAACATTTTAGAGAAATCTTCTGATTTTCCATTCGTAATGATGGTCCTCTGAACCAGGTGTCACAACATATATACAGCCATTTAATTTTCTATTGCAAATAACCAGTGATTTTACACGTCTTCTGAGTTTTTCTATACATACCATTAATAGTGGTAAATCTGACAAAAGTGGTAAATCTAAATAAAAATAAAAAGGGGACTATTTTGCCTTACAATGCCCTGCATGTACCTCCATGAATGCATTAAACAAAATATATGTTCAAGGTAAAAACCCTCATTTAAAACTATAGTAAAATTAAGTAATTACATGCAATGAGGTGTAAACGTATGAGTGAAAATTCTTCTATCTTTCATTGGTTTTTTCATTACAAATTAGCTTAACACCATATTGAGAATTTCTCAGAATTTCTTATGCCCCCTTTGGCTTTAATGCCAGTGTGCACTCAAGCTGGCATGAACTCTGATAAGTAGATTAAATCTACCCACAACCCTTCAGAAAACAAGCTTCAATAGAAGAGATGAGACTGAAAAAAATGTCAGAACTTTTGTACAAAGACTATTGACAGACATATTGCAGAATTTTGAATATTTCCATTTTTTTTTATTTTTCCTTTATCAGTCATAGCTTTGCTTTGTTTTAAATGTGTATTATGCATTTGTTTGTTTAACAGGTTTAAATGAATGAAACCCCAGATTTTCAATGTGGTCTCAGGCCTTTGGACACCATTCTAGATTTATTTTTTTGTCAAGATATTATATGCTTTTGAAATGTTTCATTAAAGTTTTTTTTTTCTTTTTCCCAGAAGAACAGTTGTAACGTGCACAAAATATATGTAAACTTTTTTCCACTTGTGAAACTTGATTATACAAACATTTAGCCAATTAACATAGCAGCTATAAAGGTTTTGGTTTTGAGAAAAGGACTGAAAGGTCTGTCTTTGAAGCCACTGAAAAGTGGCCAGCTTTGGTTTTGAGTTGTTTTTGTTTGTTTGCCATGACAATTAAGTAAAAATGGCTGCTGTAACCTTCAACTCTGTCTCCAACGTCCCTCTTGTGCCCGGGGTGACACATGGCATGCTACAAGGTTAATTTTACCTCATGTTACTCATCACATTGCAATAAGGGCACTTAAGTAGTGAGCATGACCAAAACACAGACAAATTTGGTCACTCACTAACACAACCAAAGCCTCCACTGTTGAATATAAGCATAGGTATTTATTATGGTCACAGTCTTAATGAAAAATGTAAATATGTTTTGTCCCTATCCTGTTCTTGTCCACCTGTTATCTTTGTGTTTTATTCAACTAAATCAGTAAGTCTTCACAGGGAAACAAACCATTTATAATTAAATAAATTGAATTAAAAAGGATGTCTGATGTGAAAACGGTAAGGAAAGAAATTAATTCTATAACAAAATCCATAACTCTGAATGATTTTGAGGGGACATAAGAATTACTGTTGAAAAGGGGACACAACACCTCTGAAGATGATTTTACAGTTTCTACAATAGTTTAGAAGCATTATATATGTTGTATTTAACCCTGACAGGGTAGACAAAACTTGTGGTTGTGACATAAGATATTGGCTTGACATTGCAAAGTAAAAAGTGTTTAAGCTTAAGCTTGACAGACGCCTGAGTATGTAAGCTGGGGAGCTGGGGATGCTCAGAACTGGGAAATAAGAGCTTTCTCAAGGGGGCTACAGGATACCAGCTTAAAATGTGAGACAGGGAAAGTTGGAATGATTTACATGGAACTAGAAAAGCAGACAGGGAACAAGATTAACCCACCTGACCACCTTGAGGGGATCCACATATCCAGGGGCCAGCTTCCTGGACTTAAGATGCAAAGACAAGACTTTTGTGAAGAGCCACATAGAATATGGATCTCAATTGCTTTCTTCAGTTTACAGACCATTTCCAACTGTCTGAGGTAGCCCAAATAGTGGCTCAGACCATCTGCCCAACATGATGACAGGGACGGACAAGATGTCCAGCTGCAGAAACCCCCACATTAACCTTTGGGTTTCTCTGGGTATACATGGGGAGAGTGATCCCGCAATGTATCATGGGCATATTTAGCCAAGAGTCCTGGTCACCTCTGGGTGTTCTGAGAATGAGGATGTAAGATCTCACTGTAGGGCATGGGCCCAACCAGATGTGGGGACATAAAGTTTACAGAGGGACCTCTTCCAGGGTCAGGATCCTGTTGGAGGGTGTCTGAAATTTTAATGTCACAGCAGGGCCAGGATCTGTGTGCTAGGCATCAGATTTTAAGTCATATGTGCCTAGTTGAAGAGACTCAACAAGGTCAAACTGGTTGAAGAATGAAGCCCATCTGGTCTGGTGCATGAAGAGATCCTTTGCATCCTAAATATATGCTACATTTTTCATGATCTGTGCAGACTAGAAACTGAGGCTGGAGATGAGCAACTGGAGGAATGAAGTGTACATTAAGCAGAAGTGATGATTTCAAATGCCCAAAATTTATAAAAACCTAGGAAGCACTAGACCAGCTGGAGTGAGGTATAGCATGGACATTCCAAGACTTTCTACTGCTGATGCCTCCAAGAGATGGTAACATCTAGAAAAATGCCTGACTGCTGGTGAAAAGGGTAGGGTCTATCACAGGTCTCACATCCTGTGAAGGATCTTGGCTTTTACTGACAGCTTGGGGCAGTCAGAATGGAAGTGACATGAGCACCCACAGTAGAGGTGTCTGCCCTCCTGTATACAGGTGTCCCATTCTTGGCAGGAAATACAGGTAGTCCCCAACCCTCTAGGTAATCCTTGGGTGTTGTTTCGCTATGAGCAAATTGCAACATAGTAAAATCATTACTCCAGGAGAATAAAGGCAAATAAACAAGCAGAGTAAAGGAGCTAACTGAAACAAGTGACAGGAAAGCCTAGGTACATACTTATCAGTGTTCTAAAATCACTACTTTAAATGGTTACTTCAGTAACATTAACAAAAATTACTTCAGTAACATTAACAAAATGTTATACTACATCTACTATCATCTAACAAAACAACAAAAGAATACACATTTTTAAGTCATCGAGTACACAAAATACAGGCATCATCAGTTGCAGATTATGTAGCGAACACTGGCTGAAACTTTACCCCTAGGTTAGTGTTTCTAACGTATCAACAACCCAAAGTTAAGCGCCTTTTGGCTCCAGCAAGTCTGGAAATGAGGTGTAAATCTGTCGGCTTAACACCCCCCAACCCCAGACTCAGTCAGATTTACAGCTGAATCAAGAACCAGCACCCCTCTCCCTTGACCTAGAGGGCAACAGGACAACGCCTCCCTGGAATATTGGCCACATGGCCCTCCAAAGTCCTGTGGACAACCTTATCTTTAAGTAACAGAAAGTACATTTCTAAGATATATGTCCACTCCAAAGTGCAACCATTCGTTAAAACTCTTTTTAACTAAACTAGACATACCAAAAGCGTAAATTTTACGACTCTGGACGGCAAAGTTGTAACTTCCTAAATTCCCTAGGGATCTCAAGCATGGACCCACAGCACCCCCAAGGGGTAAAACCGCGAATTACCACATCACTACTGTAAGTACTTGTGCTTATAAGGAACCCAAGAAACTTCTTGCTTGTCTGCTTGATTATCAACATTTATATAATCTGTAAGCAATACTACTAGTTGTATTAATCTTGTTGTTGGGTAGTACCTAAATATTACCTGTATCTTTTTCTACTATTAAGTGCTAGAAATACGTAGAGTATAACTTTGATAACAGTCAGACCCAACCATTTAATTGCTATGAGTTTAGACCATTGACCAATATGTATCCTGAGTGTGGCTTTCTTTTCTTTTCTTCCTTTGTTCCTTTCCGTTTATTGTCGATTTTATTTTTCATGCATTGGGTCATGTTCAGATATGATAGGCAAATAGTACCTGTGTTCTTTGACATGTGTTGTGTATCAGGTAACAAGGGTTAAACTCTCTCTTAGAAACATGCCTGAATATCCTAGTTGTTCATTCCTTGATTTTGAAAGTTAAACCAATTTGATGATATAGAAACGTTTCTTTTTCTTTGTTTAAACTAGCTGAAACAAAGGAGGCAGTGATTCTGGGGAAGGCAGTCCTAAAATTATGCACAACCAATCAGAGTTGGAAACAATTAGTAGTAACCTTAGGTGAGGAGAACCTATCAGCACTCTGGCTCCACCTCCAAAGGGTAGGGCCTCCAGCCGAGCAAAACCAGAGTGCACCGCAAAATTCAGTTCAGATTCCTGTGTCGCAACAAAAGGATAGCTAAGTTTCTAAGTTTGTGCCGGCCTTGGTCAGAAAGACAGGTCAGAAATATTAGAACGCTAAATTTTCAGATCTGAAACCTTTGTTTGTTTTGTAACTTGCCTGTTTGTCTACACACCTTAAGTTTAAACTACCCTCAGAGAAGGAAGGTGGATATTTCTTGTCTGGCCAGGGAGAATATATCCATACCTTTCGATTCTGCTAAAGACAGGTAGTTAGTTAATTTAGTATCACCAGCCTCAGAACCCTGTTTGCAACCTGAACCTTGCCAGCGGAGTGGGAGCGGTTCTGACGCCACGGAGACCCAGCATCGCACCCAGAGCCACGCACTGATCTGTGAACATATCGACCATCGAAAGGCTGCCCAAGCTCCACCGTCAGGCGGCCACGAGATGCCTCTGCCCAGTCACTGACGGGAAGGCGCGTGCCTGCACGGAGATGCAGCATCCACAGCCAGCGAGGAGAGGAACCACCGCGTGAGCTCCAGCTGTGAATCACTCTAACTTACTTGAGCTAATTTGTCTTTCAT